TTTATCTTGATTTCATTAGAACTCTCATCTTTACTCTCCATAGGACGAAGTCGTTCTTCCCGTTGAATTTCTCAATGTCGAATTTGGTGGAACTCATTGTCGTGGCTAGGATTTCTTCCAATGAATTCTACCTGCTATCCTTCCAAGAACTAAGCTGAAATCACCAAAATGTTGTACTATGGTATAGCAACCAAAGCTTTTTAGCCTAGACCTGTTTTTTAACGCCTTGCTGTCTAAGTTTTAACACCTTGCTGTCTAAGAAATTCTCACCAAATTTCTTACATTCTCCCCGTGAACTCCATTGCCTTCGCCAACCGAACAGTGAGCTCTGATCCCTTCTGGCAGAGCAATAACTTCTGTCAGAGATCACACCTGTTCACCGGAGAAAACTTCTTGTTCTGTGTCCTCTGCGTCCAGCGGAACAAATCAGGAATTCCTCCTCTGCCTCTCGCACGAGAATAACTGCCTCTCCGGAGCCGTCGCGCCTCGAACTTCCTGTTGTATGCTCGCGCCTCCTTCCCGCAGGCACTCCTCTGCGTCCAGCGGAACAAATCAGGAATTCCTCCTCTGCCTCTCGCACGAGAATAACTGCCTCTCCAGAGCCGTCGCGCCTCGCTAAACTGCTCAGGTCCTCCTGCTTCGCGAACTCCCGAACTCTTCTTTGCGCGATCTCCGTCTCTTCCCTCTGGTCAAGCTGCTCGCAAGATCGAACTCCTGCTCCAAAATCCTCTGCTGGCAGCCCTGTCACAAATTTTCGACCCTCACTCGCGGACTGTTCCTCCTCCGTCTCGCCGAACTGCACAACCTGCGGTGCGAATCCAGTCGATCAAAGCTTCCACTGCTCACCTACCTAATCTGTCGCGATTCGGCTGCCTGCGACGCGATCCGCTTGCTCCTCTGTTTGTGAATGTCGAACTCCTCTTCTTCGTCGCTGGCCGCGAACACCTTTACGCGGACACCTCTAGCCAAGAAGTATGTATCTTCCCACAGACGGCGCCAATTATTGTTAGATATGTACTTCCTGACATATAAATGAAACGCAAAAAACACAAGTAAACACAGATCGTTTACGTGCTTCGATCCAACTGGATCTACGTCCACGAGAGGGAATCAATCAAATAGTTCACTAAGGCAAAAGAAATGAAGAATACATAGCTTATACATAGAGATGAGCCGTCATCTTCCTACTATGGCCTCCCTCTCAAGCGACACCTTGATACACGACCTCAAGATGCTCTCCTCCTCTCTAGCTCTCTAGCTATTCTCTCCTCCTTTTTGGTAGCTTAAGATCTCTTCCCTTGTTCTCCTAAGCCTCACACCCTCTCTATTTATAGAAGCAAGAGAGTGGTAGGTGGGAGGTAGGTGAGCGGTATGTGAGCGGTAGGTGAGCGGTAGGTGAGATGTGATAGGTGAGCGGTACCACATTATAAAAATGTCCTTTTATCTTAGTTCAATAATTGAGGGTCAAAATAGCATTATTGCGTTATGTCAACGGCATATTAGTTACTGAAGACTGTACTTCAATAATTTAAAATCTACAAGCTAAACTAAATTCTAGATTTCATATAAAACAATTGATCCAAACTTCTATTTTCTAGGAGTTGAGGTCACTTGAACAACATATCATATGTTTCTTGGCCAACAAACTTTTTTGGCTTAACTTCTCTAAATATCAGCAATGATGGGATGCAAAGTTTCGTCTCTACATAGTATATAGCAGGTGTTGCTTCCAAGATAGCAAGTCGAAAAATCCCACAGTATATAGAAGCCTCGTGTGGGCCACTTTATTGCCTGACCATCAAAAGAAAAGACATCGCTTTCGCGGTTAACCATCCATGTCAACACATGCGGCATGCAAATACATACCACTTTCAACTCCTCAAAAGGTTGCTTCGGTATCTAAAGGAAACTCTTAGTTTCAACAAGAAAATAACATAGGAGATCTATATTTACATACATATTCCGATGTCGGTTGAGCTAGTGATTCAAGCAATCATAGGTCTACAATCGATTGTTGTTCTTTTCTGGGCAATAAACTCATATATTGGAATGTAAATAAACATCATACTGTGGAAGGATCATCGATTGAAGATGAATATTGTTCATTAGCTACGACCACCTCAGATATACTTTGGCTACGTCGTCTCCTCAAAAAATCTGGCATTGAAAAAACTAAACCATTCAAACTACACCGTGACAACATATCGAAGATGACAATTGTAAATGATCGAAATTTCACGCATGCTCCAAACAATTTGAGATTGATCGTCATTTGATCAGAGATCACATCCAAACAAGTCAACTTCAAATTCATTATATCCACACACCCAAGATCAATCGGCATATATATTTACAAAATCACAAGAACCATCATATTGAACGGGGTAATAACCAATATACTTATATATATACTCAGAACTGATCTCAGCCATTGGATTGTAATATGTGGTTCAAGATATGTACTTGTTTATATATAGACAGTTATGTGCTCTCTATTGGCAAAAAAAAATTAATGCAATGTTTGGGTCCTCACTCTCCTACACTGATTTCTTTAACCAATTGAGAACTTTCAAAGAGTTCTAGAAATCTTCACAGATTTCTTTAAATATAATATCCAATTGAGAACTTTCAAAGAGTTCTAGAAATCTTTCTTTCCTCCATTATTGTCAAAGTTCAAACGTCATCCATTACGCTACGTTGGAATATTTGCCGCTACAACACCGTTTACTTATAGGCCGCATGACTTCACTCCCCATATCCTGCAACAGCAAGCAAATCACAATGGGATCTAAAGATGATCAAAACCTCAAAATGCTCTTCTTCCCCATCATGGCACAAGGCCACATGCTCCCCATGGTCGACATGGCCAAAGTATTCGCCCTGCGCGGCGCTGCTGTCACCGTCGTAACCATCCCGGGGAGCGCCACCCTCATTCGCCCAACCATCGACCTCTTCAATTCCACCGCGAGCTCCCCCATACACCTCCGCCTCATCTCTTTCCCCTCCGCCGCCGAGCTAAGTGGCAACATTTCTTCTCTTCCCCCTCTCGTCCAATTGCTCGTGTTTGCCAGAGATGCCGCCTTGCTCAGCGAACCGTTCGATCACGTCCTCAAAGAAATCCACCCCGACTGCGTCATCTCCGACATTTTCTTGCCGTGGACTAACGATGTTGCTGCCGAGAATGGCATTCCGAGGATCTCTTTTATCGGTTCCAATTTCTTCGCGCTGTGCGCCGGCGATAGCATCGAGCGGCACCGAGTTCTGGAGAGCCTGCCGCCGAAAGAAGAGACCTTTGTCATCCCTTCCCTACCACATCGCATCGAGATGCTCCGTTCCCAAGTTCGGGACCCCAGCAAGCAGAACCCTTCGATGACCCCATTTATGGAGGTCATCAAACGCGCGAAAATGGTTGATTCGAAGGACTACGGGATGTTGGTGAACAGTTTCTATGAGCTGGAGCCGGACTACGTCGAGCACTACAGAAAGGTGTTGGGGAAGAAAGCATGGCATGTCGGCCCTGTTTCGCTCTGCAACCAAGAGGGGTCTGATAAGTTAATAAGGGGAGGAGGAAGCAAAGGAGGTGAAGAATGCTTAAAGTGGCTTGATGGAAGAAAGCCGGGATCCGTAGTGTATGTGTGCTTCGGTAGCGCGGGTGATTTCACTACCGCACAGCTGAGGGAGATGGCCGTTGGGCTTGAGGCTTCGGGCTCTCCGTTTGTTTGGGTGGTGCGGAACGCCGGCGAGGAATGGATTCCTGAAGGTTATAAGCAGAGGATTGAAGGTAGAGGTCTTATAATCGAAGGCTGGGTGCCGCAGTTGTTGATACTGAACCATGTGGCGGTGGGCAGCTTCGTGACGCACTGCGGATGGAATTCAAGCTTGGAGGGGATAGCAGCGGGGTTGCCGATGGGGACATGGCCGCTCTACGCGGAGCAGTTTTTGAATGAGAGGTTGCTGGTGGATGTGCTTAAGATTGGCGTGGAGGTGGGGTCAAAGGTGCATGATTTTGCGTCGGAGGAGCGGCCAGTGGTAGAAGCAGGGAGTTTGGAGACTGCGGTGAAGAGGTTGATGGGGGAGGGGGAGGAGGCGGAGGGAAGGAGGAGGAGGGTGAGAGAGCTTAAAGAAATGGGGAGGAAGGCGGTGGAGGAAGGAGGGTCTTCGTATAATGATGTTGGAAATTTGATGCGGGAGCTGATGGAGAGGAAGGCGCGTGTTTAAAAGCTTAGCTGTTTCATGGTGCTAAGTATTGTCTGTTCAAAAATGCTATTTTGTGGGCTATAAACGTAGATCATTTATATTTGCGATATTTACATACATCTTACATAATTAAACTGCACTCAATTATTATGTATTTACATGTCTATTATAATTATTTTTTCTTACATTTATACCACTTAAATCTAATATCACATCAAAAAGATCACTAATTTGGCCTGATGGGCCCGTCATATGCTAGCTTAAAATGGGCAAATTTAGCTATGAAAAATTAGAAATTTTGCTGCTCGAGCATGTCAAAACTCGAATGAACCTAACCTGTGCCAAGCTTGGCCCGCCCAACAACCCAGTCTCATATGTTTCGTTGGTGATTCAAAACTTTCAAGATAGTTAATTTCCACCTTTTTTCCCTTCTTTCTCTAGCCATAAATTTTGATTATTTACATTACTACCAACCAAATCTTTCATATCATATAAAAATTATCATTTTTTAACAAATTAAATACAACTTTCATACATAGATAAGATGACAAAATATGTAAAAATCAAAATTCATGTGCGTATATGTAATTAAGTAGAAATGAATGTGTGGATGTTTTAAATTTGCCTTATATTAAGAAAGGTGGAGGTGAACCTTAAAAGAGGGCTATGTTGTATAAATAGTAATCTTAATTTATTACAATTAATCTTATGTATTAATATATCTCACACCGAAACTTTCATATTAACATGAATATCACTTTCATAAGCACTTTCATAATTTAAACTTATGCATTAAAATGTATATATTATTTTTAAAAGTGAAAATAGTAATGTATTTAACTTTTAAAAAGTGAAAACAGTGCTATTTTTGGTTAATATTAAAGATTTGAGAGCTATGTGGATAAAAATAAAAGTCTTAAGAGTATGATACTTAAATACTAAAAAATCATGTGCTATTTATCTAAATCACAATGAAGATAAAAGATTCATGCAGCCGACCCCAATTAGTAGGATAAAACCTTGTTGTTGATGTTGTGGTTGGATCGATGGACTTCGAGTGTGAAATCATCGCCCAATCACCGGGTTACCATCTCATCTATAATTATATTCAGAATTGATCAAAAACGATCATGCATTTGTATGCCTAACATCTAAAATTTCAGTGGACTTCGAGTGTGAAATCATTGCCCAATCACCGGGTTACCATCTCATCCATAATTATGATCATAATTGATCAAAGATGATCATGCATTTGTATGCCTAACATCTAAAATTTCATATTTACATGCGTAGCTTAAAAATCTTTACAATTACAAAAAATTATCAACTATTATTAAATTTTTACAAGTGAGTGAAATAAATATTTTGATGCATAGATTTATGACACGAAAATGTAATAAATATAAGCAGCAAACATTGGGCTTTAGAGATGTAAATACATAGGAATTGTGTGGTATACATGTATTAAATGATTAATCAATTAAACTTATGTCTTATTCATTTTAAAATCAAAACATTCAAGCCTAAATTTCTTACACCTCCTACAATTCATGAATAAAGCATCACTTTCAGATTTATCAACATATGTTTGCAAAAATGGAAATTTAAGACTACAAAGTTACAAAACGAACCATGGCATCAAAATATATAAAAAAAAGAGGCAATTTTTAGCTAAAAAATCCTGGAAAGAAAGAAGCCTGCAACAAAAGAACAGATCTTTACCGCTTAAAAACTACAGCAGAACTCTGCACGACAAGCTCAAGCCTCGATCTCAAAGCTTGAGCATTTGATGTTGCCCATGGCGACGTCGATCTCAATCATATTGTCTTCCTCATTGATCTCCAAAAGAAGCTCCATCAATCCATGTTGCAGAAACAAGGACTTGGGCAAGTAATCGAGCAGTTCATGTTCAAAATCTGCACTTGCCTTTTCAGAACCAATGTAGCGGCCTTCAGGTAAAGCAATCTCTATCAGACTCTCATCATCAGAGATTGAATTTTCGCAGCTTTGTGATGATCTGAGCAAGTTCGAATCTTCAATAACCGAACGATCAGAGTCCGGCATCAGCTTTTGATCACTAACAATCATTTCGTCTGATAAAACAGTTTCAAAAGTTGTGATCCTTACATCATTCTCCTTCTTCTGTTGTGAAGATTCTTGGTCTGGCTTCATTTTCTGTTTTAGTTTTGAGAAGATGAAGGGGAAAGAGGCGGTAAGTGCAAAAGACAACAAAGTGAGGGATGTTGAGGAGAAGAAAAACCAGCTGCAAGTGCTTAGCAGAATAAGAATCAGAAGCAGAAGAGAAAGTGAAGCAGCCATTGATGGCGGTTTGAAGAAATGAAATGAATTGGAGTCCATTAGATAAAATGGAAGGAGAAAGTATATGAATCTAAGCTGCTGCTTCTTCTTCTCTTTCTCCCATCTATATCTGCAATTCAGAAAAGAAAGGAGGAAACTTGTTATACAAAGAATAGGCTTACCAATTGCTTCCTTGAAAAAGGCTATAAGCTTAATTTTTCTGTTTAAGTTTTAAATACCGTTGAGACTGATTGTTATAGGAAATTTTTTCTCTGCTACTGATTCTCTCGGATGAATTAATTTTTGGGGCAGTTACATACAGACCACCCGAAACTTGTTATTTACAAAATTAGCACCTTCTTTCATTTATTTTTCAAATTCTCACTCAATTATCAAAATTCATGTAAACCCCAACCCCAACCCATATTTCTCAATTGTTTGATCGGCACGCGTAGATGCATCGGCTCGGTAGTCCAAAAAAATTTCCTGATTGATTAATTTGAAAATATCAATGTTTCTGGTGGTATGTAATTATCCCTTAATTTTTTGTAATTGCATTTGAGTCCAATGTGGCTTTGATAATGAGGAATCCATGCCCCACGTTTGAGCCCAATGGCGCTTTGATAACGAGGAATTCATTTGCCTTTCCATTGTGCGCAGTGGTAAGCTAGGGGCATTTACATACATACCGCAAATGTTTTATGTATTCACCTGTCTAACACCTAAATGTTCATGTTTACATACATATATGGCTGCAATCTTTAACAACACATCAAAAATAACATATTTATTATTTTTAAGAGTAAAATACAACTTTCCGTGTAGATTTATGACAAGTATAAATATCAAAGTTTGAGTGTTAGATATGTAAATGGGTAGGAATTGTGTGGTATGTTTGTGAATTTCGAATATTTAGAAACAAAGAATTCACATTTCTTCTGTTCTCCTTGAAACCTAAACAGCAAATTGTTGAGAATTCTACAGTAAATTATTCAACTCAAACAAAGTAGAGGAGATAAGACCAAATGTTTATAGGATTTATGTTGAGGCTGTCTGCTCTGCCATCAAAAAAAGCTCATCTCTCTGCATATAATAAGAATTCAACATACTTTCCTTTGAATCTCTGAGATTTTATTATTATTATGTCAGAAAGTGCGTTCACTGAAAAGCAGACATGGAGAGACAGAACTTCAAAAGATTATTCATCTCCACTACATTTTCAAATCATTGTTTTTTCCCAAAAAAAAATACTTTTCATTTGGCTTCTTGTTATGGTATGACTCATATATCATATCGGGACAGACGCTGGATCGAAGCGGAGCAGAGCGGAGCGGAAGAATCTGTCCAAATTGGGAAGTTACGTGGGTTGGGGTGCGGGGGCAAAGCCCCGCGGTATGGTACAGGGGTAATGTTGTAATTACATATTGTGCCTAGGTTTACTCCTGGGGTTATAAATAGGCCTGTTAGTAACCCCAAGAGGTATCCCTGATTTCTGTAAACTCTTTTCTGAATATTGAAAGGAACTCGCCGCTCTGCTCCCGAGGACGTAGGCATCTTTGCCGAACCTCGTTAAATCTCTGTGTTCTTCTGGATTTGTGTCGATTACTGTTTTTCTTCGCCCTTATTTTCTCAACAAGTGGTATCAAAGCCTGGTTCGAGGGCAGAGAAGAAAACTGCGGCGGCGCATGAAGTAAGAAGAACAATTTGGGGATTTTGGAAGAGATCTGCGTGGCTTCGGTTCAAAATCGAGGTATTCGGCCCACGACGCAGATTTGAAGGAGGACATGGCTCGGGAGAAGGAATCCTGAAGGAATCGCGGGAGGCAGGCTGACCGGGGAGAATCGCGAAGGAATCGCGGGAGGCAGAATCGCGAAGCAGAGGCAGGAGTCGATCGCAGCTGTGCAAAGGAGCAATTTGGAAAGGAATTTCGAATTTCTTTCGCCGAAGGCTGTTGCAGAGAATTGGAAAGGAAAGGAGAAATTTCTTCTGGGTTCCGATTTCTGGGAAAGGAAAGGAGAATATTCAATTTCCTTTCCTGGGTTCCGATTTCTGGAAAGTAAAGGAGAAAAATTTCTGGCTTCCGATTTTTGGAAAGGAAAGTGATTAAAAAAAAAATTATGTTTTTAATTGTTTTTAATTATGTTTATTAAAAACATTGTTTATTAAAAACATTTAATTA